ACTACAATTAAATGATGCTTCCACTGTTTGAGGATAAGAGGGTGATGGAGGTAAGAAGATAAGGCTTTTTCTTTCCCTTACATAGGCTGCTTCTCTCTGCATTACAAAAGCCGTTAAGGTGAGAAATCTATGCAGTGTTTCTACGTAAACATGCTAGATTCAGCTTTGTTATTGTAGTAATTCATTTGCCTGAGGTTTCGTGATTATGGAATAAGTTAACCCAGTTTTATCTTTTTTGCCTGGAAGAATCAGTTATATTGATTCTTTTGGCTAATCAAAATCAATACTGTGAGTCTAAAGTGTAGACAACATTAATACTGTATAAGAAAATGTACAGGTTTCTTAAGTTAGAACTAGTAGTAAATGTCTAAGCTATTTCCTTCTTGAATGGAAATAAAATCATATGGAAATTTGAAGGCTTTATTTTTGTACTGTAAATTCAATACACCTTGAATTTTACATAGTATGTCAGTTCTTTTTTCATTTGTGTAAATCTAATAACTTTTTTTTTTTCATTTACTTTGAAAAATCATTGTCTTACATTCTGTCCCCAGGTGATTTTGTTGAATCATCATCCACCTTTCTCGATTTAGCAGGCCTGGACCACCACTGCACGACTTTTGGTGGTACTAGAAAATCTGGTACAGACTTCCCTGTGACTGCCGATTGACCTGTAGCTAGCACCTCAGGCCTAGGGCCAGTTCATCAGTAGCTGACCTGTCACCCCTTAGTCATAATGCATGCCTTCCATCCTATTGCATAGACCTAGATCTGGGATGGCACAGTGTTTCTTAAGTGTGATAACATAACTCGGGTGACTTAAAGGTGTCGAAATAAAGTAATTACATGTGGCACGTTTGCTTTCTCTCTACATAATTATTTTGAACAAAACCTTTAGGAAAGATGTTTTCACTATTAATGAAAAATTATCTGGGCTCAAGGTACGTTGCCACTTTTAGTTTTAACCTAAATGACTATGGATTTTTTGGTTTTGCTCTGTTCCCTTTTATTTCTGACAGTCTATGTATCTTCTAGAGCCCCCTTAATTTACAAGTCCTAAAGAATATTACCATAACTTGCTTTCCTTTGACCGGAGAACAAATTTGAAAGTGTTTGTTTTTTCCCTTGGCTCTTCATGAAGCAGTATCATTTGGTGGGACAGGTATTAAATCTGTGCTATTAAGGATCGTTTACCTGTGATGTTTTATTCTAGGGAGAGTTTAGCATTTGCATTATATGCAGAAAAGCTGTCATAGTATATTTTTATAGACGTATTTTACTTGGCTTCATGCTGTACATATAAATATAAATATACTCTGCTATAAATTGTCAAACATTTTTTTAAGGGAAATAGAGCTGCTTAGCCTTAGTTCTTTGCTTTCATGCTCAGAACTTAATATATGACCTTTTTTACTTTCACCCAGGATCAGAAAAACCAGTGTTGCATTTGTGAGCTGTTGGAGAAAATCCATTTCATAAGGGCAGTGATTTAGAGGAAATTGCTGCTGTACTAGAACAAAGACATTTGTCTGAAAATAATTAGAATTTGCCCAAGTTCTTAAAAATCAAAAATGGACTGCCATGATCTCTGGACTGGCCATCAGATCTTACTTTTTAAACACCTTTCACTTCCAACAGTACCTGATGCATTATGGATACTCTCAGTGTTTGAGTACCAAGCAGGTACTCGAGAGTGTCTAAATTAGTGTCCTGTCCAACTGCTGACACATCAAGTAGCACTAGTCTGCAAAACTATTTTTGATTTATTCATTTATTTTTAATTCTTCTGTAGGATACATGTGCCCACCAGAGAGAGGGAAAGTAAGAAGTCACCCCCAGGGGGATGGCTACACCACAATCCCATCTCTTCCACTCTCCTCAAGATTTGGGAATGCACACACATGTGTTCATTATGCTTATCAAGCTGCCGGGTCTGGGACTCGAACTACAAAGTTGGCCATGTGGGATCCAGCACCTTAACCTCCATGCCACTTGCCGGCCTTATAAAGCTATACTTTTAAAACTGATTCTTCATGAATTTATTTTTTTAGTAAAATAAATTTTTATATATATATATATATATATATACATGTGGGAATCCAGCTCCCTTAACCACCACTCTACCTGCCAGCCCCCTTCATGAATCTTTTGTGAGTTTTCATTTTCTTTAGTGAGAAAAGGAAATGAATTAAAAATTATCTCATGTGTAAAGAAATAGAACAAATTTATGGTATACCTCCATAATTTTTTTTCCATCTTTGGCACTTTTGTATATTTTACCCTTCACATATTTTTTAGGATGAGAAAACCTAGCCTAGCTCATTTTTTCCAATTACTCTGAAACAGAGCTAAAGGTTTTTGATAACTTTTTAACAATCACTTGAGAATAGAGAGCCTGTATATAGTTTTTTCCCCAACTAAAGTTTAACATATAAAGTAGTATCAAAAATATTGGGTCATTGTGAAAATTATTTTGTAGATTTCTTTCTATTTTTGTAGAGAATTGTTTGTTTTATTTCATTTCCTTTATTTACTTATTTAGAAAGAGAGAGAGAGAGAGAGAGAAGACAAAACCGAGAGCGCAAGCCGCTAGGCCAGGGATTTGGACCACAGTGGGCCGTATGGCAATTCAGCACCTTAACCACCACGCTACCTGCCGGCCCCCATGATGTATTTTTTGTTTTACTAGGCAAAAATGTGTCATGACTTTTCTGATGACCCAATATATTGCTATAAAATCACCTGGAAATGACTTTCATTCTCCTTCCTTGTGCCTTATACCTCATATTTCATCGTTGGATGTTCCTTTTGATGTTTTATTCTAGATCTTGTTGAATTTTCCTAACAGTGCACCCATTAAGTATAAATCTAGGTCACATACACCCAGTGTGAGTTTTCCTGGACTTGAACCACAGTCCACTCTACATGGGAGTCCAGCAATGTAACCGCTATACCATCTGCTGGTCCCGAGGGGTGATTTCTTACTTTCCCTGTCTCTTTGTCTCTCTCTAGCAAGCACATGTGCCTTATCATAAGCTAAAACTAAAGGCAAAAAGTAAATAAAATTTAAAAACTTAGAAATGCCTGATATTAACAGAAGACTTGTTTATCGCCAGTGCCCTATATATTATTAGGTCATTGGAAAAGTCATGATGCATTTTTACATAGAAAAACACATTGTAACTTTTCCAATGACCTAATAGTAGTCAAAAATGTATATTCTGTAGGCAAAAGTTCATTGCAAAATTTTTACTGCTGAGTTGTTAGACAAATGGGAATTGGTATATTTAAAGTTTCTTTGGGAAGAAAAGGAAGGAGGGCTATATCTTTAATAGGGTCTTGCCATGCGACGAGCCTCTCCCCAGACTGCCAGTCAGCCAGGTTACAAGCATGCCTATAGGTACACCGAATGTGTTCAGGTAAACCCAGGAGCCAAACCCAGAGCCTTTTCATTTGACTCCAGTATTACATAGAGGCACCCTACGACAAAACCTCTTTAACTGTGACTAATACAGATCAAAATACACACCTGCCTCCTGGGTAAATATAATAATGTGACTTTTAGACTTTTTGATATATACAGTTTTATTTAGGGAACATAATTTGTGCTGAGCATGATTATAACTTGGTTCCACTGTACCAAGAGCAGACAGAGCAGATTCTTCGCTGTTTCCCTTCAGATTTGAGCTTTAAGAATTATTGTGGGAACCAGCAGTTAGCGTAATAGCTATGTCGCTGGATTCCCACGTAGTCGACTGCAGTTCGCATCCCGGACACGGTGGCTTAAAATTCCCGCCAGGCGCGTGTGCATACGTGCCCAAGATCCCCAGAGGAGAATGGAGGAGAAGGGATTGCGGCGTGACCATCCCCCCTGGGGGGTGATTTCTCACTTTCTGTCTCTATGTCTCTCTCTGTCTGGCGAGTGCACTCGCCCTATAGCTCTCAAAAAAACCTCTCAAAAAAAAACAAAAAAGAATTATTGTGAAATTACTTGACTGCTGGGTGAACAAAAATATTTTTCATAAACAGAATTTTAATTTTATTTATATTGTTGTAAGTTTTGTTGGGCAAGCTTGTTCATTGATTTTAGATCTGTAAGCCATATCAGATTCAGAGGCACAGAGGCTTGATTATTAGATTTTTTTTTTAACAGACATTTTTGCTATAGGGCATGCACGCTTGCCAGAGAGACAGAAAGTGTGAAATCACCCCCCAGGAATATGACCACACGGCAATCCCTTCTCCATTCTCTTCTCGGGATTTTGGGCATGCATGTACATATGCCCAGCGTGAGGTTTAAGCCACTGGGTCTGGAACTTGCACCAAGGTTGACTACATAGTAATCCAGCCATGTAACTATTACACCATCTGCTGGTCCTGACTTTTTTTTTTTTAATAGATACATGTGTTTGCCAGAGAGAGAAAAAGAGAGAGAGAAAGAACACCCCCTACCCCAGTGGGGCATGATCACACTGTAATCCCCTCTTTACTGTTTCTCCATCCTGTCAAGATTTATAGAACACATGCACATACCCCTGGCCTGTGTTTGAAGCTACCAGGGCTGAGATTCCAACCATGGTCAGCCATGTGGCATCTGGCTCCTTAGCCACCAGGCTACAAGCCTCCCCATATTAAATTTTTAATAATTCTGGGACCAACAGGTGGTATAGTGGTTAAGGGCACTGGACTCTCACATGACCAACTGTGGATCGAGTCCTGGGCTTGGCACCTTACTTTCTTGCTTCCTCCCTCTCCCTCTTTCCTTCTCTCTCTCTCTGGTCTAATTAATGAATTATTTAATTAAACGTTAAATAAAAATCACTCTTTAAAAAAATAATAATGAATGGTTATAGGGACTGGCAGATAGCTTAATAGTTACGTTGCTAGACTCCCACATGGCTGACTGTGATTCTCATCCCGGACCCAGTGGCCTGAAACTCACGCTGGGTGTATGTGTGTACATGCCCAAAATCCCAAAAAGGGAATGGAAAAGTAGGCATTGCGGCATGGCCATCCCCCCTAGGGAAGTGATTTCTCACTTTCTGTCTCTCTGTCTCTCCAGTGAGCACATGCGTCCTATAGCTAAAAAGTCTTAAAAAAAAAAAAAAAGAGAGAGAGAGAGAAAGGAAGGTTATATTGGCTCTCTTTTCTTACGCCTAGAGTGTTTCTTTTCCCTTCTTTTTTTTTTTTTTTAAGTCTATTTGATAACGAACTTCAATGCCCTGTGTAAAGTGACTCTATAAGCAAAGATACTACCAAATACACACACACACACATATATATATATATATATTTTTTTTTTTTTCCCCAGTACTTGTGTTCTATTTTACCAGCATTGTTACCACCTCACTGTTCCTACGTTTGGAAGTTACCAAGGTGTTCGCTTTTGTGGTCCTCATGTTAACCTTCATAGTCTGTCTTCATTGTTATAGTAACCCTTCACTGGCCTTCCTTTTTGTCTTCATTCATCTGTTGTATTATCTCAATATCCTTGAATTTCCATGGCTAACAAACTGGTGAACTGAGTATTTGTTTTATTCTAGAAGAGAACTAAATTTTATTTCTAGCCTTTAAGTTACCATTAAAATGTCCACTTAGAAAACTGTGCTATTATGAAAGATCTAGAAATAGAACTGCAAGCATACAATCCTAGTTTTTCCTTCCATCAGTGAACTAGGAAATTGCATTCCTTATGCTGGCTGTCAATTAGCATTATCTCCATTTGTTTTAGATCCAGACAGGCGGTCAGTTTCCACCATGAATCTATCGAAACATGTTGATCCTGTCATTAGCAAGCGGCTCTCCTCCTCATCTGCAACTTTACTAAATTCTCCAGATAGAGGTACAGTCAAAAGGAAAACAAAAAAAAGTGTTCTGTTATTTACTTAATGCTTTTTTTTCTGGATGTTTACAGATGAAAATAAGCATATGAAGTTGCTTT